GGGGGGGTCAGTCCCGCCGCCGCCGTCCCCGCGGTACGCGCATGGGGCAGCTCCCCCGGGCTGGCACCGCAGCGAGGCCTCGTCCTCCGGCTTGGGAGGGGGGACGTCCCCGCTTGTCCCACACAGCGGGTCCCCAAACTCGGCAATGGGGAGGCAGAGGCTGCTGGAAAGGGGGTGGAGGAGAACATGGTGTCCCCCAGCATCATCCCTGGGTGTCCCCGGGTGTCCCCATAACCCCGGCAGTCCCTACCCCAGGGGATGCGGCTGGACGCCCAACTGCGCTGAGCTCAGTGTGTCACTGTGCTGAGCTCGGTGTGTCACTGCGCTGCACGAAGCCGCAAGTGGCACATCCCCAAGCACTGTCCTGCTGAGGCGTGGGAGCCGCAGGAGGGGACGCGATGGCCTCTGCTGCTGCTCTTTGTGCCCTGCCAGGGAGGGCAGAGCCCATGCCTGGCACCAGTGTCTCCATCCAGCACCAAAGCACTGGGAGCATCTGAGCCCACGTGCAGGGGCGTTCCGTGCACCCAGTGTCTCATCAGGGCCAGCAAGGCTGGGACACGGGGGTGGCCGTGTGATGCTCAAAGGGCTGAGCAGGAGGTTTTCCTGCCATTGCCTTGTCACTGCCAGACCCCATCCCTCCATCCCTGGGTGTGGAGAAAAGACTCACAGCAAAAGCCTGGGAGGAGGGTGACAGTCGGTTGGAGCTGGAGGGACGGCCTGTGGAGCTGGACTGACGCTGGCCCCAGAGGGGGGGAGTGCTGGGAGCAGGAGTGGCACTGCCACGAGCAAACCCGGCTCAGCAGCTGTCTGCCATGCCCGGATGCTGCTCGGGTGTGCCAGCGCTCCCACTGTCCTGGTACAGGGTGCAGCTGTGCTCACAGAGGATGTGGGCACAGGGGGGTGCTGAAAATGGCTCTGCACTGGCCTGCCACCACCCTGCCATGAACCCGATTGAGCAGCTGTCTCTGGGAGCGGAAAGGAGCTGTGCCTCCCAAACCCATCCCAGGGCTGTACCATGGCAAACCACGAGGCAGAGGAACATCACCGTCTGCCCTGCAAAATATAGCGGATCTGTGGAGAAGAGCACTGAGAGCAGCCAGGGCTGCAAAAAACCATCCTGAGCTTCAGCCAGATCCAGGCCCTGAAGCGGCCGCAGTGGGTGCCCGGCTGCAGCAGCTCCCGGGGTTCAGGCTCTTGTGCCCGGTCAGCGGCTCCGTCCAGGGCTCAAAGTCAGGGGTGTGGGGGAAATGCAGCGCCTGGGAGGGGACGTGGACCCTGTCCAGGCTGGGGACAGAGTGGGACAGTTTGGGGGAGTCCACCCCCACTGTGTATACGTGTGCCCAGGAGGGAGAAGGGCACAGTGGGGGGCTCTGCCAGGCAGTTAAGCAGGGAAGACACCCAACCACTGCCTTTGGGCTTTGGGGGGGTGTGAGGTTTTTTTTCCCATTTCCGCCAAAGCCATCCCTGGCTGGGCATTCGCAGGCTTCCTGCACTGAGCTCAGGCCCTGAACCCCGGCCTGCGCCAGGCAGCCACTCAATGGCTTTAAATAGCCCACAGGAAGGAGAGGCCAGGGGACATGTCCCAGTGCAGCCGCTGGCCGGGGATATCCGGCAGGATGGGGAAGGGGGACCCGTGTGTGGGGCCGAGACGGTTGAGGTCTCCTCAGTCTCTGCCCAGGCTGAGCCCCATCCCCCGTGGGTGGCTGTGGCTCCTGAGCGTGAGCTCCCAGGGCGTTTGCAGGGCTGGATCCTGCCAGCAGTGCCGAGAGCAGCAGGACACAGCTGCTCTCCTGAGCTCTGGGAGAAACCGACAGCCATGGGGCAGCCCCTGAGGGCAGGGAGCCCCCACACAGCAGGGCTGGCACTGCCGTGGTGCTGCGGGACCTGGGCAGCCCCCGAGCCCCTCCGCTGTGCAGCAGGATGCAGTGAGGCCTGCAGGGAGGAACCAGCCTCGCTGCGATAGTTCACTAGTTCGTGGCCAAGAGGTTTCCTGGAGCCCGCGGTATGGAGCATTACTCACACACTCGCATCCCCTCCTGCCTGCTGCAGTGCAGAACAGGGACAGCCGAGGGCTCGGGAGCTGGTGGGGATGGGCCATGTGGGACGATCCCAGGACGATCGGAAGGACGGATGCCAGGGAGTCCCAACTCAGGCTTGAAGCACTTCCTGAGGCACCCAAAACCCGCTGAGTGTCACTCAAGGGCCTCAGGGAGCCCCAGCTCAGCAATGGGGTCTGGGGAGTGCGGCTGCACCCGCGCTAGGGCAGCGAGAGCCGTTCAGGCACTGAGTGGGAGGGACTGCAGGCCATGGAAACCGGATTTTCCCGTGTAAGGAGATATCCCACATAACACCCCTCTCCTCCTCGCCGCCAGAGGAAGACGCCGCGCAGCCATTGAACCCTTTCATCCCACAGCCAGGGTCAGGAGGGTGGTTGTGCTCCCAGGCTGGGGAAGACAGATGCCAGGGGAGAACATGCCGGAAACAGGAGCAGCAGAGGGGGGAATGGGAACTGGGAGGAATGTGGCAGTGGAACCACCGGGGCAGGTGGCACCAAAGGCACCGCGGCTCCAGCTGGGGAGCGCCTGGGCTGGCCAGGACTGGCGGCAATGGTGGGAGTGTGCAGGAGGTGGCCAGCATGGGCAAGGGGAGCACACAGGGGTGACAGAGCCCAGAGCCATAGGTGTGAGAACACCCACCTCAACACTACCCAGCCTCCAGAGGAGCTCCCAGTGCTGGCCCAGTGTGGGACTGGCTGGTGACAATGTGCAGGAGAGCATGGTACCGAGCAGTGCATGGTACGCTCAGGATGCCTCGGCTTATACAACCCCCTATTTATTTGTACCAAAGTCTCAGGGTCCCTCAGGATAAAAGCAAGGACAGGGAAAACCCCCAGGAATAGGTCCTGTGCTGGGCTAGAGCTTGGGGACATCCGTGGGACAGTGCCTGTGACAGGGGACGAGACCCTGCCCACCCCCCTGTGCCAAAGGTCCGGAGGGGAGTTGAGCAGCCCCTCATCTGCGGTAACGGTAACGCTTGAAGTGGAACCAGAGCTGGAAGATCCCATTGGCAAACTGGCAGCGGAAGCCGTGGCGGTGGGAATACTCCCACTCCCGGTTGACAATCTTGAAGGCAATGTCCTCGTAGGGCGGCCCGGCATGGAAGCGCAGGATGGCAAAGTCCTTGTTGTCCTGGCAGGCCTCCAGGAAGTACTCAGGCGTTGAGCGTTTGTCGATGAGATCGGGGTAGAAGATGTTGAACTTGTAGCCCTGCACAATCTTTGGAGGAGGGTTGTCGAAGTCATAGTGGGTCTGGTTGTACTTGTTCCACTCAAAGCCTGTGTGTACCCGGTTGAAGAAGCGGGGCTTCCGGGGCCGATACTTGTCAGCCCAGAGATAGGCCTTGCCTGTGAGGGGCATTTCCACGCTGAACTGTGCCTCGTCTGCGCCCATGCCCTCCTTGGCCTTACGGAAGAAGATGTCATCAGCACTCTCGGTGGCATCACCTGTAGGGAGGAGAGGTGACATCAGGTCTTGCAGTGCTAGCCAGGCCCGGGCTGTGGGGACACCACTGCTGGGCGTGGAGAGGGAAGGACCACCACAGGATGCAGATCTGGACATGGATATGTACCACACTACCCTGCGGACTCCAGGCGGACACTGGGCTGAATCGTACTGGGATACTCATCCAGAACACCCTTCCCTCTTGTCCACAGCCCAAACAGCTTGGTGGTGTGGCTGGGAGTGGGGAAGGAGCCAACGCAGGTACCCACGGGGAACACCAGTGGTCTGAGCCCTATCTCCCTGCTCTTGTCCAGGCCAGGTCTGAACACCTGCTCCAACCTTACTCACTCTTTCTGAGGGCAGCGTCCCCCTCCAGCCCTGCCCCCCAAAGCACACGCATGCCCTCCGTGCCAGGCAGACTGTGAGGCCAGCAGGCACAGGGCCTGCCCACGGGGCTCCTACCTGTGACCTGGAGCTGCTGACGCAGAAGCGTATCCTCCTCCTCCTCCAGCACGTGGGCGTCAAACGGCAGCTCATTGGTGCCCAGCAGCCGGGGGCTGTACTTCCCAGCGTCGTAGTCATCCAGGCTCTGCTGGATCAGGTCTTCCTCCATCAGCACAGCTTCCCCCTCTGCCTCTCCTTTGGCCTCTGAGTCCTGCTCAGCCTCCGTCTCCGAGGATGGCCCCGGCTGTACCGCAATGCTCTCCTCTGGATCCAGCCTGCAAGGAAGAGAGAATAGAGAACTGGGATGGGGATGGTACCCTTGTTCTCTGCTCACCTGAGCTCTGTCTACAGAAGGACGGGAGCACATGGCTGCATTTTCTGTCCTGGCTGCCCCAAGGGATGGCTGCGCTCCCCTAGGG